GTTTGTAATTTATGAGGGTGCATTAGTTTGCTAGGGCAGCTATCACCATGTGCTACACATTGGGTCAGTGAAGCAGCAGAAATTTGTTGTCTCTGTAATCCGGAGCTGGGAGTCTGAAATCAAAGTTTTCACCAGGGCTGGGTCCTTCTGATGGCTATAATAGAGAATCCGCTGCATGCCCCTCACCAGCGGTTTCTCAGGGTTTGCTGGCAGTTAAACATAGTCATTAATGCTCTCAAACAATTCCAAGGGTTCATGGAAAATGTTGGAATTTATTCGATACTATGTCAGATCGCCAGATTGTGGGTTAACACAGGAAGAACATTAGTCTTGAGAACTGGGCTTCAAGCTGAGGCTATGGTATATGATTTGAATTCTGGTCATGCCACATATTAATCATGTTATCTTAGGCCAAGTGACTTAGCCCTTCTGTGTCTTGGTTTTGAAATCTATAAAATGGAATAAAACATAACAGTGCCAACTTTGGATAGTGAGATATATGTGATAATACATATAAAGTGATATATGCTAAGTGCCAAGAGCAGTACATAGAATCTAGTGTTTACTATGTGGTATTTGTTACTGGTAATGGCTGAATAGCCCTGAGAATTTACATACTTCTGAATCCTGATTTCTTTATCTGGAAGGCAAAGTTAGTAAAACTTCTCTGTAACTGATAAAGGGATAATACTACAGAACTTTGATAGATTAATTAATTAATAATTCCCAAGCACTCACACCTCCAATATTCACATCCTTGTTCCCTCCATTGACTCTAGATTGGCCATGAGACTAATACTACCCAAGCGAAAGTTTTATAAGCATTTGCATTTGTGACTGGCCTTCTTGGAATCTTGCCCTTGGTATTAAGAAACCAGAGCAGTCTTATACAGATGGCATGTGAATATATGACAAGATGTTCAACACCATACATTAGAAAACTGCAAATTGAAACAAGATACTACTACAAAACTATTAGAATGGCCAGTATCCAAAACACTAGCAGCATAAAATGCATACTTTTTCATAATATGTATTTCTATGAATATTTTGATTACCACTCATATGCATTGATTTCCAAATTTCTTTGCACCAAAGAAAATTATTTTTATGGCTGGCGCCGTGGCTCACTAAACTAATCCTCTGCCTGCGGCACCGGCACACCGGGTTCTAGTCCCGGTCGGGGCACCGGATTCTGTCCCAGTTGCTCCTCTTCCAATCCAGCTCTCTGCTGTGGCCCAGGAGTGCAGTGGAGGATGGCCCAAGTGCTTGGGCCCTGCACCCGCATGGGAGACCAGGAGAAGCACCTGGCTCCTGGCTTCGGATCAGTGTGTTGTACCGGCCGCAGCGCGCCAGCTGCAGCAGCCATTGCGGGGTGAACCAACGGCAAAAGAAAGACCTTTCTCTCTGTCTCTCTCTCTCACTGTCCACTCTTCCTGTCAAATAAATAAATAAAATTTTAAAAAAGGAAATTATTTTTATGATTCCATTTTCTACAAATTTTAGGTACCTTTGTACTTGATAATGATAATAAATGACTTACTGATTTATGTGCTTATTGCATACTTTCTATCATTATCTTAGAGTACACTCCTATTTTAAAAAAATAAACAGTATGCCATGTAACACTAGCATCAGTTTCATACATCTCATGTTTTCTTCATCTTTGGTTGTATCAAAAAGCCAAAACTTGGAAACAACCAAGACGCCCTTCAGTATATGAATGGATAAGTAAACTGTGGTGCAACCAGACAATGGAATACTACTCAGCGCTGAACAAAATGAGCTAAAACAACATGGAGTAAACTTAAATTAATATTAAATAGTCAGTGAAAGAAGCAATTTGAAGGGGCCAGTACTGTGGCATAGCAGGTAAAGCTTCCTCCTGCAACGCCAGCATCCCATATGGGCACAGGTTTGTATCCCAGCAACTTCACCACCATTCCAGCTCCCTGCTAGTGCACCTGGGAAAAGCAGCAGAAGATGACACAAGTACTTGGACCCCTGCACCCATGCAGGAGACCCAGATTAAGCTCCTGGCTCCTGGTTTTGGCCTGGCCGAGCACTGACCATTGCAGCCATCTGAGGAGTGAATAAACAGATAGAAGATTCTGTGTGTGTGTGTGTGTGTCTCCATGTCTGTCTGTCTCTCTCTCTCTGTAATTCTGACTTTCTAAGTAAAAAAAAAAAAAATTAAAAAGAGAGGCAGTCTGAAAAGATATATATACTATATGATACCAACTACATGACAGTCTAAACTACTGTGACAGTAAGAGGATCAGTCGTTGCCTGGGGTAGAGAGAAGGAAAGGAAGAATAGGCAGAGCATAGAGGATTTTCAGGGCAAAGGCATCACTAATACTATATAGGTAGATACAAGTCATTATAACTTTGTCCCATCCCACAGAATGTACAACACAAAAAGTGAACCCTAAGTGTGGTTCATTGACTGTAGCCAATGTAGCATTCTGTTACAGAGCTCCTAGTGTGAGAGGCTGTGCATAAGTGGCAACAGGGACTTAAGAGAACTCTGTACCATTCACTGAATTCCTAAAACAAATATTAAAAATGCAATCTAGCTTAGAAACTACCAAAAAGAACTCAGAAAACATCTTACCTTGAATCTACTCTATAGCAGGAACCATGGAAGACACTAAACTAACTAAGGTAGGGGAGTAGGGGTACAGGGAAGAAAAAAGTTACAGGTGCAAAACTAAAAATATATAGTTTATATTGTAAGTGGTCATATTCTAGTTGAGAAGACAAGACACAGTAAAAAAAAATAGCTAGCTCAGCTGCACCTCTCTTTATTCTTGATGCCCCACCAAGACCCTCTCTAGATAGATGACACATTCAACATACAGCTTAGAAGTATGCTTTATAGATTCTTTTTTAAGATTTATTTATTTATTTATTTGAAAGAGAGAGGGAGAGAGATCTTCCATCTGCTGGTTCACTCACTAAGTGGCCAAAACAGCCAGGGCTGAGCCAGGTCAGAGCCAGGAGACAGGAGCTTGCTCTAGGTCTCCCACGTAGGTGACAGGGGCCCAAGCACGTGGGCCATCTTCCACTGCTCTCCCAGTCATATTATCAGGGAGCTGTATTGGAAGTGGAGCAGCGAGGATAGGAACTGGCACCCATATGGATGCCAGTGTCACAGACAGCAGCTTTACCTGCTATGCCACATGCCAGCTGCTCAATAGCTTCTAAAGCAAATAAAATTACTCAAAGGCATATAACCAAGATTCTACACAGGGGCTTGAAAATTCAAAAAGCTACAGAGGCCAGTAGAGCAGGGAAGTGCTGTTCTCACATATAGTGCAGTAGAGACTTGTTGGGGCAGGGGTGAGGGTGGGAGATTGTATTCAAACTGAGGTATCTACTAAGATAATTTGAATTCATATTAATAGCAAAATAAAACTAAAACAAAACAAAAATATTAAATAAAACATTCATGCCTGCTGGACAAAACCACTCTTTGCCAGCTGTGATCTCTGTCCTGAACTGCATTCCTTAAAGACTAAGATCAGCAATCAGTTAAGCAGCACGTAATTACTGAACACTTACTTGCTTGGGGAAGAACTAGTGGAGTAAACAAAACACAGAGAAGTTCATGTCTAATAAGTACTTGAGTTCAAGACCTCGTGAGTTTAGAAATGGAAAAGTCCCACATCGACTTGCAGGGAAAGCATGGGTAGGAATTATAAATTAGGGGAGAGAACCTCCTCAGGTCATTTTTGAAATCCCTCTCCACCTATCCAATAAAGTATCCAAGAAGGACCTTTTAGTACAAGAAGTCTTATCTAGGTAGATCACCCTTGTCCTGTCAAAGGTAAGTCAGTACTCCCACACCTCCTCCCTAGGAGGTTAATGGACTTTTTCAGAAGAAAAATGGAATTGCCTCCAATTCTCAATTCACTTGGAAAAATGCTCTGACCACAAGATACCTCATCTTGGCAACTACCACAAGACCCAGGAGCAAACTCTGTGGGTTGTCTGTTTACTAGGACCAAGGAGGCACAGGAGAAGTCTTCAGTACTCCTGAGGTCATTCGAAGCATCACAGGATGGGTGCAAGGTGGGCAGGGAAGGAAGGAGGAATGGAATGTACTAGAGGAGGGAAGGGAAAACAAGGACCCAGATTTGGGATGTGCTATTCCCTATTGGGTCGTCTCTAAGCCAGATCTTTGTCTTTACTTATATCCCTCTCATTATTTTTGCTGTAAAGAGTAATAGGGGCTGGCACCGTGGCTCAATAGGCTAATCCTCCGCCTGCGGCGCTGGCACACCGGGTTCTAGTCCTGGTCGGGGAGCCGGATTCTGCCTCGGTTGCTCCTCTTCCTGTCCAGCTCTCTGCTGTGGCCCGGGAGTACAGTGGAGGATGGCCCAGGTCCTTGGGCCCTGCGCCCAATGGGAGACCAGGGGAGGCACCTGGCTCCTGGCTCCTGGCTCCTGGCTCCTGGCTTCGGATTAGTGCGTTGCTCCAGCCGCAGCGGCCACTGGGGGGTGAACCAGCGGAGAAAGGAAGGCTTTCTCTCTGTCTCTCTCTCTCACTGTCCACTCTGCCTGTCAAAAAAAAAAAAAGAGAGAGAGAGAGAGAGAAAGAGGGATTAAATTTCTGTATAAATAATGGAAATCATTTGATACAATGAGCTAAAATTGGACCCTTTACTACCCCCTGGGACCACTTGGTATACATTGTGGACACCCACCATACTACCCCTTCAATTAATATAACTTTGTGCCCCCGAGCTTGCACAATTCTTGCTCGTCCCTGTCCTATGGACTTTCAGGTAAATGCAGTTTAGTTTTGGCTTTAAAAACAAAAAGCAGTGCTTTTCCTTGATACCACATAAAATCAATGCATATTCCTATCTGATTTGAATGGAATTTTAATACTAGTCAAAACGGTCTTTTTCTTAAGGCTAGATGATAGAAAAGCAGAGATTGTAGGCTTATCTAAGCTGCTTTATTACTTTTATTTCTCTTTCCACCATTCTAGGCTTTGGGAACTTCTAGAAGGAAGACAGAGAAGAAAGGAGGAACAGGTATATAAAGTTAGAGAGGTCCTGGCTTGCTTGCACTTGGGAAAACACATCTTTGCAAAAGGGCCTGATCAGCTCTGGGCTCATTAGCCAAGTAAGAACCAGCCAGCTGAAATACTTCTCATGGAACTACATAAACATAGGGAGAGCTTTTCTGAGAAGCTGTTCCACTGAGAGGTAGCTGATTTGGCTCTTTTATCCATTCAAGAGGTGCAATCATATATAAGATAGTGATAGCCAGAAAGGTGGACCACAGCTCCCAGCTGTCAGGCAATTCTTCCAAGTTGAGAGTCCTATCCTGTATGGTCAGGATATCGGCCATGATAAATGTCTTACACCTGGTATATTTCTCTAGATATTTTCAACATGGAATTTAAGGTAGGAGTTATGTGGTTGATGAACACAATATAGAGATGAAACAACAAATACAGAAATGATCAGCAACGGCGAGAAAAGTCCACTTCAACTATTTTTAGTACAGACAGTTTTACTGGAGCCCAGCAGTCGAACAGCCAGGGCTTCCTGGCAGAAGTTTACACCAGGAGAGAAGCAGGGCTCTTCTTTGGAGGAGCTGGAACCATGATGGGAGAAGCTTACCAGCAGAAGCTGGAGTCACAGAGGAAATGCGGCTTCCACAAGAGACGCTGTCCGTGGCAAAAGGGGAGATATGTATACTATGAGCTCTCTTTACCTCCCTGCCTCCAAGCTCCCATTGGCCTCATTTAAGCCAATTTTGCAAGGAATCTGAGCAATGTAGTTCCGTGTTATGCCAACCAGAGTCAGCTAAGAGTGAGGAATCAATCTGAGAGATTTTTTTTTCCATTATTACTAGCCCACTTAACGTTACACATAACTTTCCTCAAGTTTCTATCTCATCCCACAACCTAGGGGTCACCTTCAGGTAGCTAATGTCCTGTCCCCTGCTCATCTTAGGTAGTTTACAAAGGTGAAATTACCACACCCCCATGATGGATGGATGGATGGATGGATGGTAGATGGATAAATAGAGAGAGAGAGATAGAAACTTAATAAATAACCTCTTTCTTATCAAGTAATCTTTATACTCCCAACAAATTGCAGTCACAAACAGCATTTCCATACTATTCTGAATTAAAAATAGAACAAATGCATAATGTTGGAGATACTAAGTCCTTTATGAGGGAAGAGTGAGTGACTAGTTGCCTCTGGTGAGTGACTACTTGCCTCTAAAGCTTCCCTCTAAATTAGTGCTGCCATTCACACACAATGACATGGAATAATTCTTAGCACACAGGAGAACTATCTCTTGAATCTATCCAATTGGATTTTCTTTGATTTACTGTCAAAGATATTTACTGTCAAAGATATTTACAAGTCGATGGTGGTAATAATTGTTGACTGTTTAATATAACTTTTATGCATCGTAGAATCAAATTGAATGATTCTTATCATAGAATATTCTCTCCTGCAGTATTTTCTCCTATTAGCTACTATCTTTAAAAGTCAAGGTATTTAACATGGAGAGTGGCTCCAAAGCAAGGGATGGACATAAGGGTCAGTGACAATGTGGAGATATAATATGTGTAAGCCTTTACAAGATGTAGGAGGGGTAGAGCATGTTTTAAATAGATCTTAGACCTACTACCTACCTGGAACTGACATGACCACATCTGCCAAGCAAATCCTCTACTGAAAACTGCAGAGGTGATAACTCAGAAAGACCTGAGATGTGCTGCTGTGGTGACAGAGCTCACACAGAAATTAGAAATAGAAAAAATGAGAACCAAAACATGAAATAACTTAGGTTAAAAAAAAGGTCTGTTCACCTGTCAACAAGAATCATGAGAAATGATGACAAAACTGTAATGTGGTATATCTTGACAGGATCCTGAAAGACACAAAGGACATTAATAAAAAAAATTTCAGGTATTAGAATCATGTAAACTACAGTTAGCAATAGTGCATCAGTATTTGTTTAGGAATTGCAGCTGATATGCCATATGATGTCCTATGTTGTTTATTGGTAGAACTGAGTACTGGATATATGACAACTATGTACAATCTTGGCAGGCTTATGTAAAGCAAAAACCATTCTTTTTTTTTTTAAGATAGCCTTTAAAAATATATATTTATTTATTTATTTGAAAGTCAGACTTACACAGAGAGAGGAAGAGACAGAGACAGAGAGACAGTGAAAGAGATCTTCCATCTACTGGTTCACTTCCCAAATGACTGCAATGGCAGGGGCAGGGCCAGGTCAAAGCTAAAAGCCAGGAGCTTCTTCCAGATCTCCCATGTGGTTACTGGGACTCAAGCACTTGGGCCATCTTCTGCTTCTTTCCCAGGCACATTAGCAGGGAGCTGGATCAGAAGTGGAGCAACCAGACCTCAAACCAGTGCCCATATGGGATGCTGGTGTCACACGCAGTGGCTTCACCCACTACCCCCACAGTGCCCACTCCCACTAAAACCATTCTTTAAAAATAAGTGGTTTTTGCGGGCCTTTTTTTTTTTTGTATGTTTGAGAGGCAAAGAACACATAGGAGAAAGGTAAACAGAGAGACAAAGAACTTATATTCACTAGTAAAAAATGACTGGGTATGGCCAGAGCCAGGAGGCAGGAACTCAATCCAGGTTACCCACATGAATGGTAGGGACCCAGTTACTTGAATCATCACATCTGCCTCCACAGTCAGCATTGGTGAAAAGCTGGAGGAAAGTCAGGTGTGTGAGTATCACTAGATTTAACCACTGCTCCAACTCAAGTTTCTTTTTAATGGCCAATATAGAGGTAAATGCAGCCTTCTTGATTTCTCCCGGCAGGAGTTTTAACGTGTGTCACGGAAGCCTTTGGCAATCTGGTGAAGTATAACTATAAAAGATAAAAGTTGCAAAGAAAATTAATTCTATTAAAATATAGTTTATTGCAATCACACAGGTACTGCATTGAAATGCAGCTATTAAAAATGAAAAATCTAATTTGCAATATAGTAATACTTGTGTTGTCATTAATGCAGCAAATAAAAGAACTAATAAAAAGGGGACTGGGAGAGCGAGAAGATGGCGGAATAGGAAGGGAGCACACTGATAGTCCGGGAAGAGAGAGTTTAATAAAAGTGGAGATACTGAAGGTTCAAGGAAAAGTAGAGGAAGAAACAGCAGAAGAAACTCTTCCAGAACTAGTGATTCACAGTGGAACTGCATGGAGAGTGTGGGATCCCACAGTTTGGGACACCAGCGGCAGAATCAACACACCAGCGAGAAGCGCAAGGTGAGCCGAACCTCAATAGCCCGAGACACCGGTGGGCAAGCAGAAAGAGGAGACTAGAGGGAACGAGGCTTGAAACCCCGTGGGGAAAAGTTCACCAGATTAACTACAAGAGAGAGGAGAAAAAAAAATGTGACCAATACGGACACGAGTTTCTCTCTCTCCGCTCACCTCTCAAAGGCAAGCAAGATAAAAGCAGGCGCCATTTTGGACATACGTCATAAGCAGGTCTGCACCGGCCCTCAGCCTAGCAGAAAAACCTGACTGGGGTGGGGGTGAAATAACAGGAGATTAGGACCTAGTGAATGTGTGCTGCTAATGAATGGAGACTGTGAAAAAAAAGACGGTGGGGGAGAGAACTCACGGAATTCACATGAGTACTCTACAGAGACGCTGCAATTCGGTAACCCTGGCAACCCAGTGGGAGACTGCAGGAGAATTTGAGCCCACACTGAGGGCAGGACAGATTCCCTGTGTGGCCCTTGGGAAAGAGCTTCTGATCTCTGGATCATGTGGGTATATCATTCACCTGCTAACTACCTCCAATTCTGCTGAGCTGTGCAGAATTACTTCCCTTTTGAATCAAAAAAAAGAAAGAAAGAGAGAGAGATTTACCACACCTAACCTGGGAGTGTCACCTTTGGCACACCCTTAACCCTGAGGAACCAAACAGAGCTCTCAGGCCACACCCATCTCAAGCCTCTAAGGCTCCATCAAAAGCAGACAGTCCACTTAATACAGTCATAGTATAACAAGAAAAAACACCACAGTGAGGGAAGAAGAAACAAAGATATCTCCACAATGCCAAGCAACAAACGCAAAAACCGAGGAAAAAAGAAAAAGGAAGACATTATGACAACCCCAAATGAACAAGACACCCCAAGGCAAGATTATGAAAATGATGAGATGGAAGAAATGCAAGATACTGATTTCAAAAAATTTATGATAAGAACAATTAGAAGTTTTCAAAAACAAATGCTTGAGCTATAGAATTCCTTACTGGACAGGATAGAAAATCTCCTTTGAGAAAATGAAATCTTAAGGAGGAATCAAAATGAAATGCAGAAACTAGTAGAACAGGAAAGTGCGACAGTGAAGAGAAATCAAAATGAAATGAAGAGCTCAATAGATCAAATGACAAACACATTAGAGAGCATTAAAAACAGAGTCAGTGAAACAGAAGAGAGAATATCGGACTTAGAAGACAGAGCACAGGAAAGTATACAGTCAAACCAAAGAAAAGAAGCGGAAATTAGAAATCAAAAAAATATTGTTGGGAACATACAGGATACTATTAAAAAACCCAGCATTCAGTTCTAGGAGTTCCTGAAGGCATGGAGAGAGAGAGAAAGGATTAGAAGGCCTTTTTAGTGAGATACTAGCAGAAAACTTCCCGGGTTTACAGAAGGACAGAGATATCCTAGTACAGGAAGCTCATAGAACCCCTAGTAAACATGACCAAAAGAGATCCTCACTACGACACGTTATAATTAAACTCACCACAGTGAAACATAAAGAAAAGATTCTAAAATGTGCAAGAGAGAAATGTCAGATTACTCTCAGAGGATCTCCAATTAGACTCACAGCAGACTTCTCATCAGAAACCCTACAGGCTAGAAGGGAATGGCAAGACATAGGTACTAAAAGAGAAAAACTGCCAGCCCAGAATATTATATCCTGCTAAGCTCTCATTTGTGAATGAAGCTGAAATAAAGACCTTTCATAGCAAACAGAAATTTAAAGAATTTGTCACCACTCGTCCAGCCCTGCAAAAGATGCTTAAAGATGTGTTACACACAGAAACACAAAAACACGGTCATCGATATGAAAGAAGGTAAAGGAAGGAAACCTCACAGCAAAAGATCACAGAAGTTCAAAGCATATATTAGAAAATATCTTTGGCAAATGGCAGGGCAAAGTTACTACTTATCAATAGTCACATTGAATGTTAATGGCCTCAACTCTCCAGTTAAAAGACACAGATTGGTTGATCGGGTTAAGGAACAAAACCCATCTATTTGCTGTTACAAGAAACACATCTTTCCAACAAAGATCCATACAGACTGAAAGTGAAAGGCTGGAAAAAGCTATACCATGCCATCAGAAATGAAAAAAGAGCGGGCATAGCCATCTTAATACCGGAAAACATAAACTTTAACACAAGAACTGTTAAGAGAGACAAAGAGGGGCACTATATAATGATTAAGGGATCAATACAACAAGAAGATATAACAATTATCAATGTATATGCACCTAATTACAGGGCACCGGTTTATTAAAAGATTTGTTAAGGGACTTAAAGGGAGACTTCAATACTGCACTCTCAGAAATAGACAGATCAACAGGACAGAAGATCAACAAGGAGACAGTAGATCTAAATGACACTATAGCCCAAAAGGATCTAACAGATATCTACAGAACTTTTCATCCTACACATAAAGCATTTACATTCTTCTCAGCAGTACATGGAACCTTCTCTAGGACTGACCACATACTAGGCCATAAAGCAAGTCTCAGCAAATTCAAAAGAATTAGAATCATACCATGCAGCTTCTCAGACCACAAAGGAATGAAGTTGGAAATTAGCAACTCAGGAATCCCTAGAGCATACACAAACACATGGAGATTGAACAACATGCTCCTGAATGAACAATGGGTCATAGAAGAAATTAAAAGAGAAATCAAAAATTTTCTGGAAGTAAATGAGGATAACAGCACAACATACCAAAACTTATGGGATGCAGCAAAAGCAGTGTTAAGAGGAAAGTTTATATCAATAGGTGCCTACATCAAGAAATTGGAAAGGCACCAAATAAATGAGCTTTCAATTCACCTCAAGGATCTAGAAAACCTAGAGCAAACCAGACCCAAATCTAGTAGGAGAAGAGAAATAATTAAAATCAGAGAAGAAATCAACAGGATTGAATCCAAAAAAACATTACAAAAAATCAGCCAAGTGAGAAGCTGGATTTTTGAAAAAATAAACAAAATTGACACCCCATTGGCCCAACTAACTAAAAAAAGAAGAGAAAAGACCCAAATCAATAAAATCAGAGATGAAAAAGGAAACGTAACAACAGACACCACAGAAATAAAAAGAATCATCAGAAATTACTACAAGGACTTGTATGCCAGCAAACAGGGAAACCTATCAGAAATGGATAGATTCCTGGACACATGCAACCTACCTATATTGGACCAGGAAGACATAGAAGACCTAAACAGACCCATAACGGAGACAGAAATTGAAACAGTAATAAAGGCCCTCCCAACAAAGAAAAGCCCAGGACCAGATGGATTCACTGCTGAATTCTACCAGACATTTAAAGAAAAACTAACTCCAATTCTTCTCAAACTATTCAGAACATTCCTCAATACAATCAAAGCAATTTATGAAAAACCCACGGCCAACATCCTATTGAACGGGGAAAAGTTGGAAGCATTTCCACTGAGATCTGGAACCAGACAGGGATGCCCACTCTCACCACTGCTATTCAATATAGTTCTGGAAGCTCTAGCCAGAACAATCAGGCAAGAAAAAGAAATTAAAGGGTTACAAATTGGGAAGGAAGAACTCAAACTATCCCTCTTTGCAGATTATATAATTCTTTATTTAGGGGACCCAAAGAACTCTACTAAGAGACAATTAGAACTCATAGAGGAGTTTAGCAAAGTAGCAGGATATAAAATCAATGCACAAAAATCAACAGCCTTTGTATACACAGACAATGCCATGGCTGAGGAAGAACTTCTAAGATCAATCCCATTCACAATAGCTACAAAAACAATCAAATGCCTTGGAATAAACTTAACCAAGGACGTTAAAGATCTCTACGATGAAAATTACAAAACCTTAAAGAAAGAAATAGAAGAGGATAGCAAGAAATGGAAAAATCTTCCATGCTCATGGATTGGAATAATCAATATCATCAAAATGTCGATTCTCCCAAAAGCAATTTACAGATTCAATGAAATACCAATCAAGATACCGAAGACCTTCTTCTCAGATCTGGAAAAAATGATGCTAAAATTCATATGGAGACACAGGAGATCTTGAATAGCTAAAGCAATCTTGTACAACAAAAACAACGCCGGAGGCATCACAATACCAGATTTCAGTGCATATTACAGGGCAGTTGTTATCAAAACAGCATGGTACTGGTTCACAAACAGATGGATAGACCAATGGAACAGAATTGAAACACCAGAAATCACTCCAAACATCTACAGCCAACTTATATTTGATCAAGGATCTAAAACCAATTCCTGGAGTAAAGACAATCTATTCAATAAATGGTGCTGGGAAAACTGGATTTCCACGTGCAGAAGCATGAAGCAAGACCCTTACCTTTCACCTCACACAAAAATTCACTCAACATGGATTAAAGACTTAAATCTATGACCTGACACCATCAAATTATTAGAGAGCATTGGGGAAACCCTGCAAGATATAGGTACCAGCAAAGACTTCCTAGAAAAGACACCGGAGGCACAGGCAGTCAAAGCCAAAACTAACTATTGGGATTGCATCAAATTGAGAAGTTTCTGTACTGCAAAAGAAACAGTCAGGAAAGACAAGAGGCAACTGACAGAATGGGAAAAATTATTTGCAAACTATGCAACAGATAAAGGGTTGATAACCAGAATCTACAAAGAAATCAAGAAACTCCACAACATCAAAACAAACAACCCAATTAAGAGATGGGCCAAGGACCTCAATAGACATTTTTCAAAAGAGGAAATCCAAATGGCCAACAGACACATGAAAAAATGTTCAAGATCACTAGCAATCAGGGAAATGCAAATCAAAACCACAATGAGGTTTCACCTCACCCCGGTCAGAATGGCTCACATTCAGAAATCTACCAACAATAGATGCTGGAGAGGATGTGGGGAAAAAGGGACACTAACCCACTGTTGGTGGGGAAGCAAACTGGTTAAGCCACTATGGAAGTCAGTCTGGAGATTCCTCAGAAACCTGACTATAACCCTACCATTCAACCCAGCCATCCCACTCCTTGGAATTTACCCAAAGGAAATTAAACTGCAAACAAAAAAGCTGTCTGCACATTAATGTTTATTGCAGCTTAATTCACAATAGCTAAGACCTGGAACCAACCCAAATGCCCATCAACAGTAGACTGGATAAAGAAATTATGGGACATGTACTCTATAGAATACTATACAGCAGTCAAAAACAATGAAATCCGGTCATTTGCAACAAGATGGAGGAATCTGGAAAACATCATGCTGAGTGAATTAAGCCAGTCCCAAAAGAACAAATATCATATGTTCTCCCTGATCGGCGACAACTAACTGAGCACCAAAGGGGAAACCTGTTGAAGTGAAATGGACACTATGAGAAACAGTGACTTGATCAGCTCTTGTCCTGACTGTTGATGTACAATGTAATACTTTAAGCATTTTAGTATTTTTTTTTGTTTTGTTCTAGTACTATTGGTTGAACTCTGTAATCAACACACAAATATTCTTAGGTGTTTAAATATTAACTGAAAAGTGATCCCTGTTAAATATAAAAGAGGGAATAAGAGAGGGAGGAGATGTACAATTTGGGACATGCTCAATCAGACTTGCCCCAAATGGTGGAGTTAGAAACGTGCCAGGGGATTCCAATTCAATCCCATCAAGGTGGCATGTACCAATGCCATCTCACTAGTCCAAGTGATCAATTTCAGTTCACAATTGATCACACTGATAGGTCTAAGAGTCAAAGGGATCACACAAACAAGACTAGTGTCTGCTAATTCTAACTGATAAAATCAAAAAGGGAGAGAATGATCCATCATGGGAAGCCAGATACATAGCAGACTCATAGAATGGCAGATGTCCTAAATAGCACTCTGGCCTCAGAATCAGCCCTTAAGGCATTTGGATATGGCTGAAGTGCCCATGAGAGTATTTTAGGTATGGAAAGCCAAGACACTCTGGGGAAATAAAAAAAGAAGAAGAAGACCTAAATGGAAGATCTCTGTGAGTGAGATCCCAATGGAAAGAATGGGACCATCAAAGAAGGAGGTACCTTTCTCTGAAGGGAGGAGAGAACTTCCACTTTGACTATGACCCTGTTGGAATAAGATCGAAGTTGGCGAACCCAAAAGGCTTCCATAGCCTTGGCAACTCATGAGTAGAGCCTAGGGAGATTACTGACTCCATAAACAAGAGTGTCAAATTGTTAAGTCAACAACAGGAGTCACTGGGTACTTACTTCTCATGTGGGATCTGTCCTTAATGTGTTGTCCAATGTGAAGTAATGCTATAACTATTTACCTTGTTGCCTGCATTCATGATCTAACGGAAAGTTAAATTTCAGTTAGAAGTTGCAGGAAAAAAAGTTGTAAGCTTTTCCCATTCAAGTTCATAGGTAATTCACTCTTCCACCAATTCCTACAACTACCCATAGTCCTGTTAAGAATCCCTGGGCTCAAGGAACTGCTTGCACTCACATCCTCTCTCCCATCTAAGTACTAACCTGACCCAACCCTTCTTAGTTTCTGAGGTCAGATGAGACTGGGTGCGTTCAGGGTGGTATGGCCATAGATGCACTAAGGTTCTAGGGAAGTGACGCCAGTCTTGGCCTGTGTGTCTGTGTGGGCATCAAAAGAGGTATTTGGGAAAGTGTTGCCCTGCAGCATGTCTCCCTTTACCCTGCACAGCCTCACCTAGGCTTGTCATCTCTCCTGCTGTTTGGTCAGCTGTTCTTGGACCCTTATTGAATTGGAGATTAATGCAAGTATTCAAAACCTTTCTATTACTTTTTTGTTGTTATTTAGCACAACTCTAACAACCCCTAACTCTCTGGGAAAGAAGTTCCACATGTTTACGTAAGTGCTTTATCTAAGAAAACTTTCTTTAACTTGTCCCTAACCTCTCTACACTTTTTCTCTGAGATAATCAGCCCACATTTGAATCATGATTCTAAAGAATTTACTTCTATAAATACCACTCATCTGTGGTAGGTTTATAGTGTATCAGTCACGAATATACTTAAATACATCCCCCTGAGATGTGGCTTTCTAAACATCTCTCTGCTACACCATCTCCTTCCACCAAATTGCTGGAAAGAGAAAATCCAGGCTATCTAAGCTATACCATCCAAAAATGCATAGTCTCCAGCCCAGAAATAGCCAATGACAAGCAGCATGGAAGTGCCAAGTAAAATTTTGTAGGTAAACACTCAGGGATATTCCCCTAATGGCTTTTTGTGTCTTTACACAAACTTACCTGTTGATAGTATCTGTCAGTGCCTCCCTCCCAGTAGAGCAGTGTTGGCCCCACAAGTCAGAATTTCTATTTACTGAGAACGGAGCCTGGCAACTCTTCAACCACAAGTAATCTAAAAACATTTACCTGCCTAAACCAATCTTCCTCTTGACACACCAACTGGGTGTTGCCAAGCTTGGAAACAGCTCAAACAATGTGTTTTGTTTCTGGGAAAAAAAATGATTGAAGTCTGACAAGATGTCCTCAAGCCATCCTTTATTTTTATTATGAATAACTTTGTATAAGAAATTGAATTTCATGAAACCTGAAATAGACTAAGTGAATTCATTGGAACTGGTTGACTGTTTGATTTTGACCAGATACTTCCAGCTCATTACTAATTCTTGATAATGCTGTCACATTAAAATAGAGATTTGTGAATTTGTATGAACAGATGCTGTTGGATTTTCCCTTTCTTCTCAAGCAGAAAGATGCCTGGGCTTGCCGAGTATCAGTGTAGTTAGAAAAACTTGCTATTTAGCTGCCTTCATTCTGAAACATAAAAATATTCTTGAGTGATTTGTTTTACTATTTACAGTACTGGGGCATAGTAAAGAATGCTACATTAGTAAAAATCAAGCTCTCATGAACTCTCCCTGGCAAATTTGACCCAAGTGGCAAAGCATTCCTTTGCATTGCCTTCTCCCTCATTTCAGAGCTTTTAGTTATATATGCAAGCCCAGTGGGGAAATTAGGTCAGTCTGGATCATTTCAGTCCCCACCCCAAAAAGAATCAACCTTTCTCTTCTCCTCAGAGTAATTTGGAAGGACTAGACTTGTCTGCTGTCACAAGATGATCTGTATCCCTACTGACTGACTATTCTGTGGAGCCAGGGTACAGACTGCAATGAACAGAGACTGGTGTGTGGAAGAGAGGCAAATAGTAGTGCAGGAACCATGGGTCTGGGTCACATTTCCTGCAGGACAGACTAGGGACAGCCCCTTCAATGCCCAACAGCTCTTGGTGCTCTGCAACCTCTGGCCAACATCAGGTTGCAATAAATGTAAATGCTTGATACTGATTGTTTTCTTCTTTCTGAAAAGAAACGAAATTATTATCAATAAGCTTTTTTTCATTTCAGCTGTGTTTCATGGCTTACAATTATCTTGGAGCTAGGAGTCTTCATCTTTTTGCCCTAACCCATAAAATTGTGTCCAGACCTCTGTGAGGGTGCCTACTTTTAAATGTGCCAATTGAGGAACATTAAAAGTACTGCCCATCTGTACTCTCACTTTTATTTGATCAAAAATAAAAGCATATCTTAATGTCAAAAAAGACAGGATATCATCTAAGAAGAAAGAATAGTTGTCTCAGTAAGTTTAGTTTTATGAAAAACTCATTATGATTCCTTTTATGGTTTGATTTGGTTTTTAGTTTGTTTTTTAATTTCACCACTGTCTAGTCTAACTTTCAGAAATTATTGCTTTAGAGTATAATTTGTCTAGAGCAAAATATCAGGAAATAGTGTGCAAGCCTGTGGCAGCTATAAAAACGTGCCTTCACGTCTCCTGATGCAGGAATGTGACTGACAGAAGGCCCAGCTGCACCTTCTTTGGATTCACACCAAAGCCTCACTTCCTGTTGGCTGCCCCCAATTCCTGACTGCATGCAGCAAGAGCAATGAGGCAGGCCCATTCTGGCAAGGGGCAGTTCTCCTCTGATGAGCCATTGTGACTGAAGGACTCCCCAGGGCTGCCCAGAATTTTCTTAGAGCTGAACCTCACTCAGACTCTTCCTATCCATCCCTCCCTCCTTCCTCCGCTCCTTCTCAGGGTCAGATCTGCATCACAGCCCCAGGGTTCTCTGTTCTTCCTCCAGCTTCCTCCTCTCTTTCCCCGGTGGGCATTCCCCCACTACCTTTTCCAGGTTGGATCCTGCCTAGGTGGCTGTCTCTCAAAGGACCTGATCTAACACAATGTCCTTTTCCATCCATTCCTTTATTCACTTATGCCTCACACACCACCACCAGGGAACAAGAGACTTTGCCATGTTTCATCCATGCCAAAGCTAGGACAAGAAGCCAGAAATTCCAGTTCCTAGACTAAACTTTCCATTGTGGCCCAAGATTTCTCCTGAAGGAACCACTCCTCAGTGCAAAGCATCCTGTGTGAACAGAAATATCTAGGTTATAAGTTCTCCAATGAGTTTTCCAAGGACAACTTCCCAGTGATTGTTCCATCTCCTGACTTGTGGTTTTCCAGTGTTTTTAAACCATCAGCTCCTGTATTCAAGGCACATCCTTGCTAGTGATTGATGGATAACAGCAGAGGAAGAACTGAGGCACAGCTGGACTGGTGGTCAAGTGGGCATGGAGACTGATGCCAGCTGCTAGACCTTCTCTGTCCTTAGCCCTGCTCTCTGCCACAGCAGTGCCCTTCCAAGAATCCCAGAGGGTCTACTAAGATTGACAGCCTGATTCCTGTCTGGACTGTTTATTCAAAAGGAATATTTCACAGAGAGGCCTCCTCAGTTAAGTCACATGAGGAGAAAGAGAGCAAAGTCATGTAGTTCTGGCTCCCAGGGCCACCTCCAAGGGAGGCACTTTGCTTCTAGCTGTTGGTCTCTGATTCTGCATACTATTTTCTCAGAGTGTTCTTAAGCTCGGGGTGTGTGTGTGTGTGTGTGTGAGAGAGAGAGAGAGAGAGAAAGAGAGAGGAGGAGAAGAAGAAGGAGGAGGAGGAGGAGAAGAGAGGAGGAGGAGAAAGAGGAGATAAGAGAGGAGAGGAGAAGATATTCCCTGCTTTATGACAGTTACAGAAAGAATCTCATAGAAAATGTAGTTTTTTTCCTTTGCAGCCACATCTGTGGGTATCTGGAATGAAGAGACTGGAGAATGAACACAGCCATTTTTTGTATCCCAGTGTGGTCCTACTGAACTGACAGGGACTTCTCCAGGCCACGTCTTTTATGTCACATATGAACACACTCAGATATAAGAAAGAGATAGTCAGCATTTCCTTTGTGCCAGGTTTTGACCAGTTACTGAGAAGGTCCCATTCTTTTGAGAAAAGGAAGTGTGTGAATAAGTACTGTTAGCACAGATAAACAGCTAGGTCTGAAAAGAGCACCAGCTGTCCCAGAGAGTCCCAAGGACTTTCCACATCTTAACAACTCAAAAACAACCAAGCCAGAGATTGTCCCCCCAAAAAGAAGCCTAATTGTTAGCCACACCATCACTGCAGTTACATTACAAACTACCTGCCTGAAAAATCACCATGACAGATCCAAAAGACCTTATTAGGAAAGCAAATAGGTGGCACCCTGTTCCAGCAAAATCCCACCTGATTTCTAGAGCTCTCTTCCCTATCGCAAGAATATTCCAATCCTTTATTATATGATAAAGTAAGGAAAAACTCCTCAGACCCTTGGAACAGGTGCTCTCTTCCCCAAATTTGCCAGCTCTCCCTGTTGAGGGTGTCCTTTCACTTATAATAACCTCTGCTTGCTTGCTCAATTCAACCCTAATGCACCTTAGAATTCTTTCTTTGGGCTGGCATTGTGGTATAGTGGGTAAAGCCGCCACCTGTGATACTAGCATCACATATGAGTGCCAGTTCATGTCCTGGCTGTTCTACTTCTGATCCAGTTCACTACTAGTGTGCCTGAGAAAGCAGCATAAGATGGCATAAGTACTTGGGCCTCTGCACCCATGTGAAAGATCCAGATGGAATTTTAGGCTCCTATCTTTGGCCTGACCCCACCCCACCATTGTAGCCATTTGGGGGGTGAACCAGTGCATGGAATATCTCTTTCCCTCTCAAATGAGTAAATCAGTATTCTTTCTTCTGTTAGCATCAAGAACCTGGACACATTCTCCAGTATCAGTACTGAACAGTGGGATCCAGATGTGAGAGATGCCTAAAAGAATGATCCCAACCTTGGGGTTGGGAGACTTAAAACTTCAGGTGCTGGATGCTGGGTGTTCACTCTTCGTGTTTTGTGCCAAACTCTGCTCCAAGTGCTCCCTTCACACAATGCTCAGAAGTGGAGACTATTGTTATCCCCATCCTAGAGATGGGGAAACTGAGGCACAAAGAGGTAAAGTGACATGCCTGAGGTAACCCATCATTAAATAGCAGAGGCAGGAGTGCACTCTCACGTGGGTGTCCTTTCACCAACTGTGCTTCCTGCTGCTTTGAGATCACCAAGTCTACCCAGCTAAACACCAACAAGCCAGGATTGAATCAGGGTGTTCTGCTTCCCTGACTTGCTTTAAATTCTAACTCCCAAGACCCTAGAGCGTTTATTTTTCTTAGTGGTCTGTCAAAGGTTGATGATTCTCAAAGTAGCATGTTTAAAAAAGGTAAGACATTCACTAGAATAGCAACTTCAGGGTCCTTGTTTGGAAGTGTTGGAGCTTGGGGAAGGGGAAAATGACAAATAAGACTGAACAAAAATGTACTGTGAGCATAAGCCTGGTGTGTTTGGGTGAATAGTGAGTTTCTACCACATGCAAGGTATAATAATAATCAGGTGTTCAAAATATTCAGCCAGACTCTACTGGCTACTCTAAGATAGAAATGCAGGGACAGATAAAAGACTGTGTTCAGGTTTTATTTTAATCCCTACTGTGGTCTTTAAAGGCCTTGGTATTGAAAGCAAATGATATTTCTACCTACTCCTTCCCAAAGCAGGAATTTGCATTTTAATTTTGGAACACCCAAGAAAAAAAATCCAATGAAACACTTTATTTACTTTTTGAGACATTTTTTCTTCTTTCCAGGAATAAAGCCTATTGCTTATTGAGTTGTAGACTAAATACCATGAGTCCCAAGGACAAGTTGCTTACTAGAACTACAGAACATGTGTTTGTCCTTTACCCAGGAGGAAGGAGCCTAGGTTCCTAGATCTTGAGTGGAATAGACTTCCATCGTAGCATAGTGGTTGTGTTTGCTTGGAGATGAACTTCAAATCAGGAAGTTCATACATAAACAACTGGGAACACACTTAATAAAAGTGGCCTGAAAGCCCTCCTTTGGTAAGGAAAGTGAGTTAAGTGCACTTTGTCATATTACTTAACAATTCTGAAAATGAGAGCATAGCCAGCACCAGTCTGTCATTCTTAAGTTTGTCCATCCTAGATGCTGCTCACGTAGGTAAGGTAGCCACACAATTCATCATCCAAATCATCCCATCATTATTTATACTGGAACAAAAGGCCTAAACCAGGCCTGAGCCAGTCAAGCTAGCATAAATGATCACCTACTCATGGGCAAAATACTCTTTTTTTTTTTTTAATTATTTGACAGGTAGAGTTATAGACATTGAGAGAGAGAGACAGAGAGAAAGGTCTTCATTGGTTCACTCCCCAAATGGCCGCTACGGCCGGCGCTGTGCCGATCTGAAGCCAGGAGCCAGGTGCTTCCTCCTGGTCTCCCATGTGGGTGCAGGGCCCAAGCACTTGGGCCATCCTCCACTGCACTCCCGGGCCAGAGCAGAGAGCTGGACTGGAAGAGGAGCAACGGGGACTAGAACCTGGCACCCATATGGATGCCAGCGCTCCAGGTGGAGGATTAACCAAATGAGCCATGGCACCAGCCCGGGGAAAATACTACTCTTTTCAAGTGAAAACATGGAACTGGCATGGGGTTTGTAAGCAGAATCAAGTCAGTGAAGGGTCAGAAAGAGGGAATTTCTCAGGTGGAAATGTCTCACGGCTTTGAACACATGAAGAACTGAAAGGGATAGTGCAACCGTCTGAACTAGAAGAGGAAGAAAAGAGGAACTGGAGAGACACGGTCAGGTCTTTACAAAGCGAGGACAGACACCAGACCCCCTGACTCAGCTACATCAAGGTCTCAGGAAGTTTCTGAAGCTCCTCTGGCATCTGAGGGAATAAGACCCAATGGAAGAAGTATCAGGAAGCAGTTACTTCCCCCTCAAACTCCAGGGCCCCCTCCACTGTCCTGTGAAACGCCCTCTACACTTTCTACCAGCTCTGACAACCGGGACCCTTTTAATGCACCTTCTTGAAGGACCAATGTATAATAGCCCTAGTGGGTGACAGCACTGATTATCTGAGTTCTGCACTCGGAATGATCAGGCCTGCTCTCATTAATCAGTACATTCACTAAAGCTGCCTTTACCTGGAAGAACAGTCCCCACTTACCACCTAGCAGAAAACAGAGATTTCCAGATAATAACACATGGGACACAAAGGCAGGGGAGAGTCTCTAAGGAACCTGAATGCTGTAAAGAAGGGCAGGTGAAGGTCAAACGTAACTAAGTGGCTGGGATACCCAGGGTGGGCCACGTGACGGTGCTACATGTTGGAGACAGGGTGGCTAGAGTGACTCAGAAAGACAAGAAAAGGGAAAAGAAAGTTTCAGAAGAAAAATTTTTATATGGTGTCTACCCTTGCAAAGGGATCTGCTAAGGCTTCTTCAGAGATAATTAGAAACATGAGCTCACACGTGGAATGGGCGGGCATGAGGTGCCCAGAGCTCCCAACTATGTTTTCTCTGCCTTTGATTATGGGCAGCAGCTTAGAATCAAAGACCAGGAAGTAATTATCCCATTGGGGGCAGGTTCCCATGTCTCTCACCAGCTCTTTAGAATTTCCTACAAGTCAAGGTAAGTTGGCATGAAGAGGGACATGAATTAATTCCAAATATAGAATTATTTTTTCCATATCACTCCCTGGTAGCACATTCTGTTGTACGAAGAAAGTCCAAGAAAAATGAAATGGGCGACTCTTGGAAGTCTAAGAGAAAAAAAGTAATGAAATTTTGGTATTTTTAGAATAAAAGTGCAATGATTTTTGAAGTGCCAGTTTATCCGGGGAAGTACCTTTGCTGCCTGAAACCAATGTTTAGGTGAAGATAGTTGTTCAGAATTTCAGTCACTCTGCATTTTGTCTATTATGTATTTGGGGATTTATGGACAAATATTTCATTTTTCAACAAGATACTAATTGCCATGGGAGATTTATTTCTACAGTGAGATTATCACATCCCCCAAGTCTTTTACATTGGATCTCCCTAAATACCTCTTAAAACATTACTTTTTATTACACAGTATCTAGTAAGTAGACATTAAGTATTAGTTTGTTGCACCTGATGCCTGATGTCAACTAAGCTACTCATCTTTCTTTTTTTTATTTTTTATTTTTTGTTGTTGATGTTGTTGACAGGCAGAGTGGATAGTGAGAGAGAGAGAGACAGAGAGACAGAGAGACAGAGAGAAAGGTCTTCCTTTTGCCATTGGTTCACCCTCCAATGGCCGCTGCAGCATCGCACTGATCTGAAGCCAGGAGCCAGGTGCTTCCTCCTGGTCTCCCATGGGGTGCAGGGCCCAAGCACTTGGACCATCCTCCACTGCACTCCCGGGCCAGAGCAGAGAGCTGGCTTGGAAGAGGGGCAACTGGGACAGAATCTGGTGCCCCAACTGGGACTAGAACCCGGTGTGCCGGCGCCGGAGGTGGAGGATTAGCCTAGTGAGCCGCAGCGCCGGCGCTACTCATCTTTCATACATGCTCTTTTTCTTTCTTTCTTTCCTTTCTTTCCTTTCTTTCCTTTCTTTCCTTCTTGACAGGCAGAGTTAGAGAGAGAGACAGAGAAAGGTCTTCCTTTTCCGTTGATTCACCCCCCAAATGGCCACTACGGTTGGCATGCTGCACCGATCTGAAGGCAGGAGCCAAGTACTTCCTCCTGGTCTCCCATGCGGGTGCAGGGCCCAAGCACTTGGGCTATCCACTGCCTTCCTGGGCCACAGCAGAGAGCTGGACTGGAAGAGGAGCAACCAAGGCAGAATCCGGCGCCCCAACAGGGACTAGAACCTGGATTGCCGGAGCCACAGGCGGAGGATTAGCCAAGTGAGCTGCAGCGCCGGCCCATACATGCTCTTAGAAGAAGCACTAGTAGACCGGCGCCGCGGCTCACTAGGCTAATCCTCCGCCTAGCGGCACCAGCACACCGGGTTCTAGTCCCGGTCGGGGCGCCGGATTCTGTCCCGGTTGCCCCTCTTCCAGGCCAGCCCTCTGCTGTGGCCAGGGAGTGCAGTGGAGGATGGCCCAGGTGCTTGGGCCCTGCACCCCATGGGAGACCAGGAAAAGCACCTGGCTCCTGGCTCCTGCCATCGGATCAGCGCGGCCGCGGCGGCCATTGGAGGGTGAACGAACGGCAAAAGGAAGACCCTTCTCTCTGTCTCTCTCTCTCACTGTCCACTCTGCCTGTCAAAAATAAAAAAAAAATAAAAAAAAAAAAGCACTAGTACAGAGCTAGTCAATCTTTCTTTTACCTCAATCTATACAAAAAAAATAAATGCACACATGGGTAAGTGAATCAAATGTCTCTCAAAGTTACCTTACTCTTTCATACTGATACTTCCTTCTTTATAATGTTAATCTTGTCTGTAAAATGAACCTCTTGTATCAGGAGCCTCCAGTTGAAATATAACAATCTAGAAGGCTCAGCTGTAAAACATCTGGGTTAGGTTTGTGGTTTAAAACTGATTTTCCGTAAGACACTCGGCAAGCAGTTGTTTCTTTTAAAAAAAAATAGTTATATCTACTGTGAAATATGAGTATGAACACCAAAGCAGTATATAAACAATGACAAAACTAAGGTCTCTTCAATCTATCCGATGAATGAAGCCAGTGCTTCAAAAGTGGAGAATCAGGACCAGCATTTGGTGCAGTGGTTAAGACACTGTGTGAAAAGCCAACATGTGGGCTTCTCCAAAGCAGAGTGCCTGGGTTTGAGTCTTGGCTGTGTTCCCAATTCCAGGTTCCTGCTTATGCACATCATGGGTGGCAGCAGGTGACGATTCAAGTAGTTGGGCCCTGTCAACCATGTGGAAGATATAGACTGAGTTCCTAGCTCCTGGCTTCAACCTGGCCCAGGCCCTGGCTGCTGTGGGCATTTAGGGAGTGAGCTAGAAGATAGAGGTCCACCTGATTCTCTCTCTCTCTCTCTCTCTCTCTCTCTGTGTGTGTGTGTGTGTGTGTGTATGTGTGTGTGTGTGTTGCTGCCTTTCAAATAAATAAATAAAATTTTACAGTGAAGAATTTGTTCTGCCTGAACCCCTTGTTCAAAGTCTGTTAAAATGGCCAGTGTTACAGATTTCTATCCTATCTACTCTGAATTGATAAAATGACTAAAAAGTGTTCTGAATCATTAAGAAAGGGTGCAAGAAATGAAGATGAAAGTAGTTTTAACTTGGTTATTGTTAAAAATTTATAGTAGAATCATCAATCACTAGAAAAAATTACCATTTCTTTTATTGTAATTTAAAAGTTATTAAATTTTCATTCAATTCATAAGAATTCTACTTGGTTATAATTTCATACTTGGAATTTGGGTTATCCATAGTTAGTTACTTAATATAGGACAAGAGATCTGGTTTTCCATATGTAGGTTCTGTTATTTTTCTAAGAAATTGGGTTAAATCAAAATAGCCATTATCCTAGTTTTCAGTAAAAAATGTTGTACATTCAGTAATGTCTCACCCAATAAAATGTATCTATTCATCATAAGATTGACCACATAGTCACACATAAACATATTTATTTCCTCACATCTTCATTGAGCATTTACTATTTATTATTTAATGGACACCAGAGTAGCCATTACTGGAGAGAAATAAGGCCTTTCTGAGCCCTAAAGCCTGAGAATATTATTCTATTTCTTCCTACCCCATGCCAACTCTCTACAGATAATTTAAAATAAAAGCAACACAAAAGTGGAAAATGTGTAAAGACATGAAAATCCTTTTTTCCTACATAGCTATTATAGCTACTTTGATGATTTGGGAAGTTGTCAACTATTAAATTCTTTAAGAATTTTTTTCTTCTCACTTTTGGCGCCTGTGGATTTATATTGTTTTTTTTTTTTTTTTTTTTTTTTTTTTTGACAGGCAGAGTGGACAGTGAGAGAGAGAGAAAGGTCTTCCTTTTGCCGTTGGTTCACCCTCCAATGGCCGCCACGGCCGGCGCACTGCGGCCGGCGCACCGCACTGATCCGATGGCAGGAGCCAGGAGGCAGGTGCTTTTCCTGGTCTCCCATGGGGTGCAGGGCCCAAGCACCTGGGCCATCCTCCACTGCACTCCCTGGCCACAGCAGAGGGCTGGCCTGGAAGAGGGGCAACTGGGACAGAATCCGGCGCCCCGACCGGGACTAGAACCCGGTGTGCCAGCGCCACTAGGCGGAGGATTAGCCTAGTGAGCTGCGGCGCCGGCCTTGTGTTTTGTTTTGTTTTGTTTTTTTCCAGTTTACTACACGTCTGTTTAGTCTGCCTATTGGATATCCAGGTCTGGACACTGTAACTTAAGAAAAAAATCACATTCTTTCTGTCTTCAGTGACAATAGAGTTCAGTAAATAGAAACCATAATAACAATGTAAGTCTTTAGTCATCACCTATCCATACAGAAAAATTAAATAATGTTCCTTTCTGTGAGGGTTGCATCCTACATAACTGTCTATTCTGCTCACTTCATTTTTGACCATAATACTTAGCTAGAGAGACACTTGGTCCAGGTATCCATAACAGCAGCTGGTTATTGTTGACTTGGAACTTGAAAAGTCACTAAGAAATTAAATTATCAGGATCCTAATGTTTAGTGTCTGTAATCCATTGCATTTATACATGTAACTAGAGTTAGCAAGGTGCTCAAATTGTTAACTATGACTTACCAATAGATTAAATACTAAATAATTGTTTGAGTATAATTATTTTATAATTTTGCAATATATTTAAATTGTATAACTATAATTATTTCCAAGGAATTGGTTTGTGTCTCCTTCTCCTCTGAGATATCAAAAATTGTGTTGAGGGCAATAGTTGTGCCTTATCTTGGTAAGATGTGAATCTCAGAATGTCTGGCACAGAGCAAGTGGACAATGCATTGTGAGAGTGATGGTAACTGAGGAGGAACATATCTTGGAACACCCCGAAACCACCCACTTGAGAGCTTCTTCCTATTTGGGCTTTGGGAGAGGAGCATATTCCCCCTTAACCTGACATACTTTTGCTGAAATAATTATTTCCTGATTTTGTGGAAACTGAAAATGGATCCCCATGTTAGAAAACATAAATGCCAGAATATGCCTGTTGATTCTTTCAAACAGTCAAAAAAAAAAAAAAAAAACAGTAATTGCACTGCTTCCATTGTGTGTGATATCCATCCTTGTCCCATTCCTTGGAAATGTGAAGATCCAGAACTCCATGTGTCTCTTGGGGAGCAAATTAGGAAGAGTCTGTTAAGTTTTCACTTCTGTATGCTTATACTTGTGAAACTATTGCCACAATCCAGGCAATGAACATGTTCTCACCCTCACAATTTCCTTACACCCTTTGCAATGACCCCTTTCCACCCTCTTCCAGATTTGGCAAGCAGTGATCTGCTTTCTATCATGATGATCCATTTTAAATTAATTTTTCAGGGCTGGCGCTGTGGCTCACTTGGTTAATCCTCCGCCTGTGGCGCCAGCACACCGGGTTCTAGTCCCGGTTGGGGTGCCGGATTCTGTCCCAGTTGCTCTTCTTCCAGTCCAGCTCTCTGCTGTAGCTCGGGAAGGCAGTAGAGGATGACCCTAGTGCTTGGGCCCCCGCACCCGCATGGGATACCAGGAGGAAACACTTGGTTCCTGGCTTCAGATCAGCACAGCTCCAGCCGTAGTGCCCATTTGGGGAGTGAACCAACAGAAGGAAGACCTTTCTCTCTGTCTCTCTCTCTCTCTCTCTCTCTCTCTCTCACTGTCTGTCAATTAAAAATAAAAATAAATTAATTTTTCTATACAGTGTGAAATAAAGGCCAATATTAGTTGGTTGGTTGGTTGGTTGGTTTCACACTTAGCTGTCCAACTGACTTTTTTAAAAAATCCCTTCTTGAATTACTTCGAGAACTTTTTCAAGAACTAATTGATCATATAAAAGGGAGGTCTGAATTTCTAAATTCTCTATTCTGTTCCATTGGTCTATTTGACTATCTTTGTGCCAATAACACCATCTTGAATAACTTCAGCATTGTAACAAATCCTAAAATCTAATATTGTAAGTCTTCCAAAGTCTTCCAACCTTGAGGAGTTCTTTCTAATGGATATGTGGTTTCTTTATGAAGTGATGAAATGTTCTGAAATTAGGTGGTGGGATTGGTTGAAGAACTCTGTAAATGTACTAAAACACATGGAATTATACAATATAACAGAGTGAATTTTATGGTATGTTTATGTAACAATAGGTTATTAGAAGTTCTCAACTCATAAAGAAGGCATAACATTTTAAATTTTAATATATCTGATTACAGCTTCCAAGTACATGAAACAAAAACTGATAGAATACAAAAAGAAAAAGATAAACTCACATGTTTTTTCAGCTTTATTCTATTGATTTGGTGTATTACGCTGCTTAATT